TTCGCCTTCTTGCAAAGCCCAGTGAACTTCGTAGTCTCAATGGTTTACCTACTTTCAGGGTGGTGTTCATGGGGTGGCTCCTGCTTGAAGGTGAGAAGTCAGGGAGTCAAGCAGGAAAAGGTTCACAGGCCAGTGGGTATTTGCATGGAGGTACTGCTTCCAGCCCACAGCTGGCATATAGATCACAGGAAATCAAAAGGCAGGATGCGGTGGTTGTTTCTGAAGAGCCCTGGTATTGATGACATGCCGGCCTGCTAAGGGAAAGGTCCGCAGTCAAACTCATCAGCCGCTCCGTGGGAGAAAGATGTGGCTTTCTACACTGGTAAAGAGTTACAGTCGCAGAAACCCACAGGGCGGTCTACCTTACCTACAGGGTCACCAAGAGTCTATGGCAGTGAGTTTGGTTTGGTGGTTGATTAGTTTTCCAGGGATTCTGAGATGTAAAGCCTCAAGACAGCTCATTTTCATGAAGCCGAGGGGCCAAGGGCTGTGAAGTGGAGGCATCTTCAACTCTCCCTGTGTTTGTGTTGGGTTCTGCCACATCGTACAGACAGGCCAGAATGCGGGACTGCACGCCAGGAACCTTCGGCTCCGTGTCAGCCCACGGCCCTGGGGAGATGAGAGTTTGGGGAAATCACTGCTCTTTTTGGTTCTTTTTTCTTTGGTGGTCATTCAAGACTCCAGCATCCACCCCGCCCAGGATGGCGTGAGATCAAATGGGATCGCTTTTGTAAAAACACATGTGCTCTTTTTTCTCTCTGGACGTTGGGGCAGCTCGGTGGGACTTCTCTTTCTCTGCAGGGCAAATGGCTCCGGTCGCGGCTGAACCTGTCTTTCCCCTGGGGAGAGTCAAACATTCTCGAGTCCCGCTCTCCTGCCAATTCCTAGCTGGGACCCACGCGAGTCTGTCCCCTGCTGCAGACAGTTCAAAGGAAACCAACATAACAACGGACACAGCGGTTGCTAACAGAAGAGTCTTTTCTGCCCAGGATGACAGGATTGCTGTTCAAATGCTCTACGACAGGAGGTTTCCTGATGTGCCCGGGGTTGCCAAAGGGAAACGCAACCCTTTCGATTGTTAGCTCTGAAGAGGTTTGAACCAAAGCGCAAAGACAACAGCAAAGACAAAAGAACAAAGCTTGTGGCCAGCTGCTGCTTGTATTGCTTAGGGACCCCATGGGAAAATGCAGCGCTGCAGGGTCCAAAGGTGCTCAGTGGAAGCCACTCCACATATGGCCCAGCAGGTGGCTAGCTACAAAATGATGAAGGCATCCAAGAAAAAGGAATATATACACGACTCCCTTATAACTCAATGCTGGACGAGGAATCTCGGGGGGAAAATCCCTTACAAGCAGCAACAATGCCAATTGGCAAATACCCCAAAGTTGGCCCTTTGCTTGTGTTCTTCACAGCGCCGGCCACAGTAGGTGCAGCCGAGGGAAGGAGCCAGGTTGAGCCCCAAGGGTGAGGCCGATGCTGCTCACAGGGGCTCGCAGGATGGACAGAGTTGGACTGGAGCGTCGTCAATTTCGCCTGCGCTGACTTGGGCCCAACAGTCCGGGAGCTGAAACTGAGGTTCTGAAGTTCCTGATTCCAACCGCTTACTTAAGTTTGGAGGCTCTATCTATTCTCAGCACCTGCCAGCCCAGGTCACGATTGGCCTCTTTCAGCTCTGTCCACAAAGCCATCTTGAACAGCAGAGGTTCAAAAACGGAGGCATGCATCTATAAAAAAGTGAACATCCTGGAGCCCGTTTGATCTTCCAGTCCTGGGAAGGGCTTAATGCAGTCTTCAACCTGGGTCATCCTGGTAGCTCTAAGTCAATATTCTGGTCCGTGTCTTTCTGCTCCTTCATAAGGGCTCAATTTTCTGTGTCTGTGTGGCTGATTCCTCTTCTTGGAATTTTGCAAGACTACACTTTGGGCCAAACTAAGACCTAAGTGTAAGCAACTACATGTGGAGTCTAATGACATCCACAGCAGCCAAGGCTTCTGTGGCATTCAGGCCAGGCTTGAGATTTATGTCAAAGACAAAGAAAAGCTTGGCAGTGAGAGGAAGGAGGTGCCCGCTGAGTTCGACGTTAGGTCTACTTAGGCATTCTTCGTCTTTTTTGAATCTAATTCAACACCCGGTGTTTTGGGATTTTCTCAAGAGAAAACTGATGGGCAACAGACATCAGCGCTATTGGGTACCAACCAGGAACTTAAACTCTTTGGGTTAGTGGGCAGGCACGTCTCCTTTCCCGATGTTACTAGCACAGCGAAGAGGTGTCCTGCTTACGCACAAAGGAATTCTCTCTACCCCAAACTCTTATCACCTTTTAAAAAACTTCAATAATACAGAAATTGAGCTAAGAATACTTTACAAAATGGAAGGTACCATTGATAAACTTGGGTTGCTAAACTAAAAGGCTGGAGGAGGAGGCTCATCCAGCAGCACCTTGGAAGAAAGGCTTGGTGAGCTACTGCCCCCTAAGGAGCCAATGAAAGGCCAGGGAGCATAGTTCTCCATGGACACATGGCGAGTTGATTTGAAGGCAACTGGTGTTGGTTTTTCACACACCAAGCTGGGTAGTAGAGGGGAAAAGGTTATTGTGAGGAAAGAGGAAAAATGTTGAGATTAAGGGAGGCAGCGAAGTAGGGGATCTAAGCTCTCACTGTCCAGACTCCGGAAGACATGGCTGTGTAACAATGTCCACCCTCCCCTCTTTAAAACCACCGGTACCAGACAGTCTCATTAGGACAAAGTCTGGCTCACTGTTCATTCTACCTGTGTGTTGGAGCTGGGATTAGCCAACCACTGCCCCCTTCCACCCCAATGCCAAGTTTTCTTATGTGGCACAAATTTGAACTTTCCTCCGGTGTACGTTTCCCTTGGACTTTCGGAGTCTGTGGAATCAGACAAACTTGGGTCAAGGACAGCCTCGGAAGATCATGCGTAAGTGACTAAGTAGCACAGTGTTCTCTACAGAGCAGAAACTCAATGCTATTTCCAACCCCCGTCCCCCCAGTTCACCCCACTCCAAGATGAATCTTCAAGGTCACTTGTATTTATTATGCATTTTAGCTTTCAAGCTGGCTTTACCATATACTAACACTCAGAACACATTTGGGGTGCTGGTTCCAATGAACAAGCATTGATGACCTCTAACTTACTCAAAACCTAATGTGTCAGTCCAGTCCTCAACCTAGGCCTTCCTTAACGTTGCTCCCCTGGCCTGCCCCCTTATCCCCGGAGGATTTGTGTTTCAGTTCCCTAGTTCAGAATGTAAACTTCTCTTAATATCAAATCTTCACACATCCACAGCCCAGTGGCCAAAGGGGCCCAGTGCTTTCAAAGACTGTGGCACGTTACATTAGAATATGTCCCATTGCGGGGAGGAGACGAGCCAGTCAGGGTGCAGTGTAGCAACAATGAAACATACAACTTTCCTCTAGTTCTTAAATGTTTCCCCCACCCCTCCACTATCATGATCCCAATTCTACCTTACAAACCTGGCTAGACCAGAGGATGTACACTGGTACAGATAGGAACTGGAAACACA